TGAACAGACGGCACTCATGAGGAAAGTACAAGAGCTTGGCACAGGTCAAATATTTTTACACAAGGTAATATGTAGTACTTGAGTAAAGTGAATTAGGCAGGCTAAATAGGCAAGTGCTACTGAGAAACTAGGTAAGCTAGAATTGGGTCCTCGTGTGGGAATGTCTAATATGTCTGCCTCAGTTCATGACGATGCCTGTTCTTTTGGAAAACTGTGGACTAGACAAAGCTCATGCCTCGACAACGTGAAATAGTTAAGCAGATCAACGAGTTGACTATTTACGTGTTGACTAGCAATCTGGCGTAAACATAGCCACTAGGCCTATATAATGCTTACGCCAGCCCTGTGCATGCTCAGTATACCTTATTCGGCGTAAGCATAGCCTCTAAATAATGCTTACGCCACCCCTGCGCATGCTCAATAGATCGGCGTAAGCATAGCTTATGACTAATGCTTACGACTCGGCGTAAGCATAGACACTTCCTAGATTATAAACCATCAAAGAAAGGTAAATAGAGTGTTCGAACAACATGATATTCGAACATGGTATTTACCTTTTTTTTGATGATTTATAGGCCTAGCTAGGGCCTATATATACAATTTAAAAGTGTTAAATGGCTACTGACACTGTATCTGTCTGTATGCCTATTTGAATCCCGACACGATGGCGTGCATTTCGATCTTGGAGTATGTTATTATCCCATATGACTGGGCTGTTGAAATTGTCATTGTTGTTGCTGTGTTATTATTAAAGCGAAATAGAAGTAGTCTACCTTGCCTAGGCCAAGGTTGGTGTCAACAGAAGTACATTCCTTTAAATCCAGGCATTCCACATTCACAACTGACGAGGTATTTGCCAACTGAGCTTTTGACCTTGCGGCCTAGCCAAAAATATCCGAGATAAAATTGCACTAATAATTACACAAAATCACAAAAGAATATTATCACAAAACAATCGATTCCCTGAAGAAATGAAAATCTGTATGTTTTTATGTGAATTCACAACTGTTAACTCGATTTTACCTTTAAAAGGCGGCGGTGGAATGGAAGTCCAAATAAAATCTTGTTAAAATTCAGAAACAGAATCGTCCTCTGAGTATGGCGCGCCAAAAGAAACTTGTGAAAACTGATTTCACAACTTTTAACATGCGAGTGCACAAGTAGAGTGCATTCATTTGACCACGCTAAAATGGCTGCTGTCACTTTTGCAATGCGTTCGGAAATAAAACATAAAAGAACTTTTTTTTATTCTGAAATAATATTATTTAAACAAATTGTAATAAATATGTTGGGTTGCAAATAAAACATACAAACAACACTCCTTTTTTATCTGAAATAATATTACTTGATAAACAATGCAATAAATACCTATGGTTGTTGTGCATAGTTTGTGTTACATCTGCCATTTTCCACACTACTTGTGCAAATCGAGGAAGAAAAAACTACTCGAGTTCACAACTTGTGTTTACAAGTTCACCAACGAGATGAACGCGTTGTGAAAGTTGTGAAATGGAACACCGACTTCACAAATTCTAATGAACGCAGCATAAGTAGCATGCAAAACTCAAGCAGCAGCACAAAACACAAGTGGTGACACAAACGTCACGTCTGCCTTGATCTTGATTTTTAATTGATCAACTTGAACTTTTTACTGCCAGCAGTGCCACTTAATAGTTTCATAGGCCTACATTGATATTAAAGTACGGGTGACTTTCTTAGGGTTATAATCGACCATAAAAGCGTAAAACAAAAATAATATTATTATCTAATATTCTTTAAAACTGTACGGAAATAAAAACAGTTACATGAAACTATTTCTATCATACGTCCTGGTTTAGCCTATATAAAACCGATGCTTTTCTCTCTATGCATTGCCGCATCGGAATGGTATTTTTTTTTCAATTTCAATGATTTAAAAAGACATTTGCTTCCATAGAACAAACACAAACATATACAATGCAATATGATTTTAAAAAATAACGTAAATAATCTATGGTTGATATATAGATTCTTACAACAATTATTTGATTTTTAAGTCATAAGTGACAAATTTTTATTAATTTGTTATCAATTGTTAAGATATGTATATAACCTAATCATGCCTCCATCATTGTAGATTATGTCATTTTTCACACAACAAAATAATTAACCAGAGTATTTTGCCAAGGCATGTACATCGTGAAATGTTTTGCCTACCACAGAATGGAGTGCGCCCTCATGACTAATAAAAACAATTGAAAGGGATGAAAAAGGGGAATTACCATTACAAATCGTGCATTGCTATTTAGAGAATTTATCACAGCTTGTAGACATGCTAACAAATATCTCTTAAAAAACTTTGTATCATAGGCCTATCACCCAACTAAACTCTAGTGCAATTTACGACCATTATAAAGTTTATCATTCATTGTCATTTAATCCTTCGTTAATTACTTAATGATCACAGTGTACCGCTGCCTTTCAACTACCGAATTTACTCTGCACATGCTCAGTCTTACAATTAATCAATCTTTGATAATCTTAGTCATTAGACTATTTTATCTGAAGAGTGCTGCAGCATGTATGTGTAGCACGAAACTAAATAGTAATAAATATGTCTAATCAAAGCTACTGTTGAACCTCTCATTTTTATACACATCTTTATATAATATTTTATATAATATATAATTTTTTATATAAT